AATCTTTTTTATTTGGAAAGACTTGAGATATGGAATTCTTCCAACATTCTAATAGGATATGGAATTGTTCAAATATTTTAAAATGAGTACAAAAACTCCTTAGTATGTTTTGAGCAAATGTAAGATTTCAATCTGTAACACTCAAACGTAACATTCTAATGTAATACTCCAAAAAAATTCCTTATTATACTTTTTCCAAACATAACACTCTAATATAATACTCCAAAAAAAATTCTTTATTATACTTTTTCCAAACGTAACACTCCAAAAAAACTCCTTAGTGTAACACTCCAATGTAACACACAAAAAAAATTGGGTAAACTACCAATAGGTCATAATAGTTAGACTTAATTCCCGTCAAGTCCTATTGAAAATAAGTCTTGGTAAAATTATCACTAAAAATAATTTTTTTATGACAATTTTTTACATACGTAGCTAAAAATTAACAATTAGTGACTTTTTTTGTCATGATTTTTATAAATTGTCGCTAAAATTTAGAATTAGTGACTTTTTTATTACAAATTTTTCCCATAGAACCTATTAGACAATAAGTCATCTTATTAGGACCTACACGTAAGTACCCCAAAAAATTTCTTAGTGTACTTTTTCTAAACGTAATATTCCAATATAAACTCCAAAAAAGGGTGTGGGCTTTTTTAAACCATTCTACAAGGGTGTGGAATTCTTCAAACTATTCCAAAAGGAGTACCAAAATTATTTAGTAAGTTTTGGGTAAATGTATAATTTCAAACTGTGAGTATTACGTTTGAAAAAAGTACATTAGGTAATTTTTAAGTGTTTTTATGTATGTTACATTGGAGTGTAACGTTTGAGATTACATTAATTGAAGTGTTACATTTGGGAAAAGTATACTAAGGAGTTTTTTTGTGTGTTACATTAGAGTATGTTATATCGGAGTGTTACATTTGGGAAAAGTTCGAAGTGTTACATATGGAAAAAGTTTAGAGTGTTACGTTGTTACGTTTGGAAAAAATACATTACGAATTTTTTTAGTATGTTACATTGTGTTATGTTATTAGAGTGTTTTTACATTCTTATTCGTAATGTAAGATTTGTTCCAAAAGGAGGAAAAATCCAAAACCTCTATATTGCAGATTGACCAAATATGTAATTTCACATTTGAAGAAACTCACTTTTACCCCTAAAAAATTAAATCCAAGCGTGTAAGTAACTACCATTTTGTATAATTTTTACTTTAATTTAACCTTTAGGTTCATAAGAGAAAAAAAGAGAGCACTAAACAATTCATAAGATCACATTTTGAGATTTATTCATATTTCACCCAATGACTATTCCTCTAATAACAATTGAAATATTCCAAAGCATACATGATATTAGAAAGCCACAACTCGGTGACACTTTCTTTCACTATCTCTCAACTAAATGTACCGCTAAATTTGGACAAGCCAACAACAAAAGTGACTAAAGGAGGTTCCACCAGCAGCAGCAACTTTTAACCCGAAAATTCATGTTTACTAAGCCTTATTGCCCCTATTTGAAGTTTGGGGGAAATGGACAATAATCAAAGTTTATATCGATCTATGCTTGTAATTGTTGATTTATATGTTTTTGGAGAAAATATAAGATTCTCAATCCTAAGAAATACCCTCAAGATTAAAGAACAACCAACACTTTCTAAGTATTTATAAATTGTAAGATTCAATTCATTTTCTTCAAATTAATCTGCAACCAACGACATGCATCTACTAAAACATGCAAATCAACAAATAGAAAAGTTAATTAGGACAGCATCTGGGTCCAAGCTGACATCTTCTATCAATCAAAAGGTGAATTCGTTGATTTCTTAATTAGGAGGACATTCGGTTAAACCTACTTTTATTAACAGATGATGACAGTTAGAAAGCTTGAAAGTGTCATCACTTAAAAAATACTTCATTTTATTATTGGTGTTAAAGTAACACTAGACAATGTCCAGAACTTAAGTATGGTAGTAGCCCACATTAAAAGTGATTTTTATGCTTGAGAGAATTGATTTATGCATGGTCCCATAAATTTTATCCTCGCAATTCTCTTTTCCACTAGCAAAAGAAGAGTGTGACGGCAGGGACTGAAAAAGGGTTCATTTTCTTTTAGCAATTTTAACATGACTATTCCTGTTTAATGAAAGATAAGGAAAGAGAATGAGCTAAAAGAAATGCACCAGGTAAGATATAATCGATTGGGTTCATTGACTATCTCAGAAGTGTTCAATGAATTGGTAGTCATTAAAGAAAAAACCAAATTAGGCAATGAAATTAACTTGAGGGAGAAGGAATCTATTTATTCAATGAAGTCAATCAGTTAGGTACCATTGAATCATTGCACTTGCTTTAGTCTTGATATAGCCACTAGCAGGGGCCTTTCAACAGAACACCCCCTACTTTGGGGGAGGGATAATGGCGGAGTCGAGAAATTAATCCAGAGGGTCAACTATTAAATACAATTTCAAAAAAAATATATATGTAATCACTAACAATAATACAATAAAAAAATTTTGAAATAATATTAAGCACAAAAAATTAAATATTCATTATAAAAGTTTTTAATGTAACTTTTACAATTGACCCCACCGTACTTTCATCTTTAAAAAATAAAAAAACAAAAACTACAAATCAAAATTCTGAATTTTAGCACATATCACTGCTAATCAAAATACCCAATTTTAGGACAAATAACAATATATCAAAATCCTTAATTTCAGCCCATCAAAATCTCTATTTTAACATAAATGATTGCAAATTAAAATTCTTAATTTTAGTAAATCAAAGCACATCACTTTACAAATAAATTATAATATTATAAAAAATAAAAATAAATAAAAAAGTACGGGGCCCACATGACCTCCTGGACCCTTAATAAATTTAGGGAGGGGTTGAAGAAAAGAAAGAGAAGTATACTACAGAGCATCACTAAAAGAACATCATTACAAGATTGAGGGTGAAGGAGACCTATATGGAATGTTTGTTTATTTTAAGGTGAAAGTTGATAATTAATAAAAAAAAAAAAAAGCTTAAAAAACATCACTTCCTCAACTTCTTCATAAACAAATTTTTTTTTTTTTCAACTTATTTAAGCCATTTTTGAGTCGTAAGTTGTAAGAAGATACAACATAATATAACACAGATTTTTCAAAACAAAAATTACTAACGCACCCCAAAATCTAAAGGTGATGCATGATTATTATTTTGTTAATATACTAGTACTTCAATTTTGGCTAAATTTTGTGTTGGTGGATAGCAATGAAAGGTAACATTGACGGGATTGATTGAAGGTCTGTTAATATGGTGATCAGGATATTCTACAGTTAATAATGACCTAAAAATTATGTTCACATTGTTTCTGTCACAACGTGTTGTATGCACAGTAAAGGGTGGGTGAGACATGCCCAAATCAGCATCTTCAATGGATTCTCATAACAAATTTCATCTTGTTTGCTTAAGAACATTTTCCTTCGCACATAGAACTATAATAAAACAATTCGTAGGTACTAAATTCAATCAATTTTCAAAAGCTCATTTATTTTTTATTTAGTCAAATTTTGGGGTGTGTAATTAAACAGCTCAAACTGATCACAAATTCATCAAAGAAACATATCAAATTACATAAATATAGCAAGAAAACAGAGATGAGCGATGAGCAGAAGAAGAGGAGTCGAGAAATTAATCCAGAGGGTCAACTATTAAATACAATTTCAAAAAAAATATATATGTAATCACTAACAATAATACAATAAAAAAATTTTGAAATAATATTAAGCACAAAAAATTAAATATTCATTATAAAAGTTTTTAATGTAACTTTTACAATTGACCCCACCGTACTTTCATCTTTAAAAAATAAAAAAACAAAAACTACAAATCAAAATTCTGAATTTTAGCACATATCACTGCTAATCAAAATACCCAATTTTAGGACAAATAACAATAAATCAAAACCCTTAATTTCAGCCCATCAAAATCTCTATTTTAACATAAATGATTGCAAATTAAAATTCTTAATTTTAGTACATCAAAGCACATCACTTTACAAATAAATTATAATATTATAAAAAATAAAAAATAAATAAAAAAGTACGGGGCCCACATGACCTCCCCGGACCCTTAATAAATTTAGGGAAGTGTTGAAGAAAAGAAAGAGAAGTGTACTACAGAGCATCACTAAAAGAACATCATTACAAGATTGAGGGTGAAGCAGACCTATATGGAATGTTTGTTTATTTTAAGGTGAAAGTTTATAATTAATAAAAAAAAAATGCTTAAAAAACATCACTTCCTCAACTTCTTCATAAACATTTTTTTTTTTTCAACTTATTTAAGCCATTTTTGAGTCGTAAGTTGTAAGAAGGTACAACAGAATATAACACAGATTTTTCAAAACAAAAATTACTAACGCACCCCAAAATCTAAAGGTGATGCATGATTATTATTTTGTTAATATACTAATACTTCAATTTTGGTTAAATTTTGTTTTGGTGGATAGCAATGAAAGGTAACATTGACGGGATTGATTGAAGGTCTGTTAATATGGTGATCAGGATATTCTACAGTTAATAATGACCTAAAAATTATGTTCACATTGTTTCTGTCACAACGTGTTGTATGCGCAGCAAAGGGTGGGTGAGACATGCCCAAATCAGGATTTCTTTCTTCAATGGATTCTCATAACAAATTTCATCTTGTTTGCTTAAGAACATTTTCCTTCGCGCATAGAACTATAATAAAACAATTCGTAGCTACTAAATTCAATCAATTTTCAAAAGCTCATTTGTTTTTTATTTAGTCAAATTTTGGGGTGTGTAATTAAACAGCTCAAACTGATCACAAATTCATCAAACAAACATATCAAATTACATAAATATAGCAAGAAAACAGAGAAGAGCGATGAGCAGAAGAAGAGATCGTGAGATGATAACAATAACCTCATATAATCACAAGAACATAATTAATCATATTCATAAGGCTGAAATCCAATGGAACATATACCATCAAACAAAAAGAAAAGAAATCCACATTAAAAAACAGCATATGTTTACAGACCACAACAAACAGACAAAAAAAAAAGACACAGCTCCATTAGGCATATAAACATGATACAATACACCAAATGGTTCAAACATCGTGTCAACTACGATTTTATTACATTTTTCACTTTTCATGCATAGCAAATCACACAGAAAGATTCTAAGGCAGACACTAAGTAAACCCACCAGGCTTCGGGTGACCAGGAGGTGAAGGCTTTGGGATATAAGGCATAAGCGGAGTGCCATGCTGGATAGGTCCCGGCCTTAAGGATGCTTTTGAACTTGGAACTGGATCAATAGGATTGTAGTCCTCCAGATTCACACTGCCTGCATTGCTCTTGTCAGTGCTTGAAGCATAACCATTCTCCTGCAGATTGGAAAAGAGGTAAAAGGAAAGAAAAAATATTACATCCAAATCATATAAATTGCAACCTCTCAGCCAACTTATGCAGTTTTTTTTTTTCTCACAGCTCTGTGCGTGTCATATGGACTTCTAATTAAACACCGAAAGCTCTTCAATTAAGTGCATGTACCTTCAGCTTCCTGTTTCTTGCCATCACTGCCATGCCATCCCCATGGCGAGTTAAAGCCATATCTAGGATTGATTTAAAGAACTCGCGTCAGCATTTAACTAAATGCATCTACTAAGTAATTCCCAAATTGTTCATCACTATATCACAAGTAACTCTAAATTTGCCACTAAATAACAGCATTAACATTATTGCCTTATTCAATCAGAGAGAAAAAAAAATGGCATTTGTTACAAAAAGGACAACAGAACATTGCATTTTGGCCAGCCAAACCAATTAGGGAACAACAATTTATTTACAATTCGGCCTGAACAACAAGATCAAAACATCCGTTTAAGCATCATAAACATTATATTATTATTAAAATATAAAAAAAAATAAAAACAACAACCATTTAATTCTAGATCAATGAAACTATGTATAGAAGTGAGAAAGGAAAAGAAAAACAAATTGGAGCACTCTACGATAAATAGAGTATTAAACTTTTCTTTCTTCTCAGCACTACTTTGAAGTCTAGATTATGTCTCAAATGGCACCGATATATAATAACAGTGGTAAATGTATATCAAATGCTCAACTCAATAAGTCAAATATCCCCACATTTTTTTGGTGAAGGGAAGTATATGACCAGTGGCGAACGCAAAAATTATAGTTAGAGGGAGCCGCATTGAAATTTCACAATAAAGTTTTGGTTATTTTATTAATAGATAAATCATTGTACCTATATTAAAAGAAACACTTTTATAACTATAAAAAATAAAAATATTATTCAATCTAAATAGGGGCCGCTCAACAAGAGGTTCAATTTGAAATCTCAAAGAGGAGCCTTTTTTTACATTCAATGTAATATAAAATTTTAATGTAAAAACATTTTCCTCTTCAATTTTTATAATCAATCTTGAGATTATTCAAAATCTTTATTTTTATTTGGAAAAAATGAATCTTTTAATTTGATTTTGGACAATGAATTTTTTTTTTTTTTTTTGAAGCTTTATCATTAATAGATAAATCATTGTACCTATATTAAAAGAAACACTTTTATAACTATAAAAAATAAAAATATTATTCAACCTAAATAGGGGCCGCTCAACAAGAGGTTCAATTTGAAATCTCAAAGAGGAGCCTTTTTTTACATTCAATTTATTATTAAATTTTAATGTAAAATACATTTTCCTCTTCAATTTTTATAATCAATCTTGAGATTATTCAAAATCTTTATTTTTATTTGGAAAAAATGAATCTTTTAATTGGATTTTTGGACAATGAATTTTTTTTTTTTTTGAAGCTTTATTATTGAGGGTCTTTGAAAAAACACAATTTTTAAGTTTTACTATTGAAGGTCTTTGAATAAGGAGGAATTTTATCATACTCTATTACTAAAGCAACCATTTTTGGCTTTTCATAGGACACCATATAACATTTTTCCACCCACACTAATAATCATTTATCACCCCTACCTAGTATTGTTGGACAAAATAAGAGCATAAAAAATCACAAACCTAACTACATGAAAATCACAATAAAATTATAACATAAAAATACCTTACAAACACTAAAAAACTTTTCTCCAGATTTAATTTTCAATTATAATGAAAAAAAATTAACAAAAAATAATAAAAAATTATTATTTATGAATTTTGGAAGATATGTGAAGGCCGGCTCTCTTATGAATGATGGGATCCTTGGAGCGGCTATCCCTTCTCAATTTACCAAGTCAGCAGCAATAAAACATAAATTAATGGAGTTGGTGTTGCAGGTTTCAATGGAGTTCTTGACAAGCAATGGCAATGAGAAGTATATTATGTATTGGAAGTACTAATACTTAATTTTGAACATCAAAGATAAATTCTATCAACATGCCACTACCAAGAGGGTCTTGATAGAAAACTTATGCAAAAATTAATAAAAGCACAATAAAAGCACAGAAATTTCTATAGTTAAATAAGGCCCATCAATCATTGCACTCATTCGATTGCTTATCACAACAGCAAATATTTGAGTATGAGATCCATCATTATTAAACTGGTAATTTAGCTCATATGCTATGTTTGGATCAATGATTTTAGTAAGGGTTTGAGGGGGAAAGGGGAAAAAAATTGTGAACGAAATATAAGCTAAATAATTTTTTCAATTTCCTTTCCTTTTTCCTTTCCCTTAACAAATCCTCTCTCAAATATTTAATCCAAATACAGCCTTGCATTGATGTAGAGAGGGATAGACTCCCTTCCATACATTCATCTCTCCATACCCCTCTTGTAGGCCCCAATTCAGATTCACATCGATAATCTGAATCGTCTATCTTGTAAGTTTCGTAATAAAGGTCATCCATACAAAAAATGAGCTTCAATTGAAAATTATAAACGCAGGAACAAAAAAACATTTTATTTTATAAAATGGATAGTTTAATTTTACAATCACATTTGTCTTTCATTTTATCAAACAAAATGCAGTTTTTTGTTAAGTCTATAATTTTCTAATAAAACTCATTTTTTCGCTTAAATGACCTTTATTACGAAATTTACGAGAAAGACAATTTGGGTTATCGGTGCGGATCTGAATTGGAGCCTATAAGAAGGGTGTGGAGAGGTATGAAGAGATTAAGGTATGGAGGGAGCTTATCCCAGGTAAAGAATGCAATGTGAGTAACATAATTAAGATGATATTAAGGACCTATTGGTAGAAAATAGAGAAGGATAATATCACAATACCACCTTTTGGAATTAGATATGAATCTAGTTTTATTTCTATGTTTTGCATGACAAAAATTACTCTCCAATACAAACATATCTGCAGACACAACCTTTTTCAGCAAAAACAAACGAAGATCAAGCTCTTAGGCATAAAGACAAAACCCAGAAGCTAACCGCTGTAAAATCTAAAATTTATGAAGAAAAGATACAGCTATAAAAGTTTACCAGGAACAGAGGAGGTCCTTCCTTCGGTAGAGAAACTAAGAAAAATCAAAGTTGTCCCAACCGCCACGAACAAAACCCATAACACAAAACCCTTCATATTGCCAAAACAACCTCTCTCTCCTCCTTTAACAACCCAGAAACGACAAAATACAGATTTGTGAATTCAGCATTCACAAGCTTCAAAATTAGTCTTAAATAGCTCAACACAATTGAAATTTTTCTGAGAAAATTAAAAAAAGGAAACGAAAATAAGGAGGATCACCGGCCTTTCGTCACTCCCTTAGATAGAGAACACCAAAGTCGACCAGAAAATCCGTAGAGATAAGGAAAAGGGTGCCTCTCCAAGCCCATATCGATACATATACATATGAAGAAACATATAATAATAATAATAATAATAATAATAATAATAATAATAATAAATTGTTGGTGATTTCGGGGAAGTGAAGCATCAAAGAGATCATGTGGACTTCATTGTCTTGCATTGCTGTACTACAATAAGTAGGGTGAGATTTATTGCGTTTTTTGATTGTTTCGTGTTGCAGAAACAGTGGAGTGAGGGAATTGAATGCAAAGGGCGTTGTTGCGTGGTGGAATGCGAGCCCTCTCAGAATATGGGCAGTCTTCAATATTGGCCGCGTCACCGCCTTTTGCATTTTTAAAAGCAAAAATGTAATGGCACTGGCTTGCTCCTCTTTCAGATTTGACTGCAGGGTATTATTGGGTTTATGGGGTCCATCACGGATTTTATTATAAGTTTCGTTTTAATAATTTGAATTGAATAATGTGTAGAATTTGTTAAATATTATATATTTGTAAAATATCACGTTGATTAAATATCGATAACTACATGATCAAATCAATTTTATATATAAAAAAATGGATGGTGAAAAAGTAAATGGTTGATAGAAAATTGATCTGATCAGATAGCTATCGATATCCGATCAACGTGATTTTTTACAGGCATATAGTACTCGACAAATTCTACATATTAAACAGATCGAATTATCGAAACGAAACCCGTGGTAGGCTCCCACGGACCCAACAGTACCCTCCAATCTGATCTGGAGCTAGAGGAAAACCAAGCCCAAATGTAATAATCTATCAAAAAAATTTACTAAACACACAATTTGATCATTTTTTAGTAGATTATTTGGTAACGGTCCAGCTTGTCTCCAGTTGGAGATCAAGATTGGACCGTCCAGTCTGACGCATGGGTTTATTTTTTGGTCCCGTTTCAATAATCTGAACCATTCAATATGTAAAACTCGTCAAGTACTACAACCCTATAAAAAATCACGTTGATTAGATATCGATAACTATTTGATCAGATCAATTTTGTATAAAAAAAAATGAATGGTAAAAAAATAAATGGTTGACAAAAATCTGATCTAATCAAATAGCTATCGATATCCGATCAACGTAATTTTTTTACAAGAATATAGTACTCGACAAGTTTTACATATTAACGGTTCAGATTACTAAAATGAGCCCAAAAATAGGCCCACAAGCCGGACTAAACGGTCCATTCTTAATCTCCAATTGGAGACAAGCTGGACCCATTTGGTAATAACTCTAACAATACTCTTCTTAAAAAAGAGTTTGGATTTTGAAGTTGGTTATCATGCACAAAAAATAATAATAAAAATAATTGTATATCGATAGTTATATGTTTAAATTATATTTATATTATAAAAAATAGATATTTACTCTTAAAATTAAAATTATCATATATTTTTTATAAAACAAATGTGATTCAAATATATAGTTATTGATATCCGATCATTTTAATTTTTTACATGAATATTCTATTGAATAAGTTCTCAAATGTGAACGGTCCTATCCGAATTATCAAGGTCGGCCTCAAAATGGGCTCACCAGACCAACTTGAGAGAATCCAATCGCTTTTTAAAAAATTAAGCAATTCTCTCTAGTCTGAAATCTGACTAAACGGTGTCGTTAGGCTACGGTGGGCCCCACTTTAGGTTCATCTTGATGATTCAAACCGTTCAATGTGTAAAGTTCGTCAAGTATATCATCTCTACAAAAAATCACATTAATTGAATATCATAGCTACTTAATCACATTACATTTGTTTCAATGACAATTATGATTTTGCCCACACCTCTTCCCAATTGATCAAATGTGAGCTACATTGATCAAATGTGAACGGAAAAAAAAAATACTAATGCATATCCAAAGAAAATGATATAATAATGCATTTTTTTTTTCAAAGGAAATAGAACAAGACATAGTAACAACAAACCAAAGCAGAGGGCTAAACAGGCTTAAGCCCTTTCACAAGATGTTCCAACTATATCTATAACAAGCAGACTAGCAATTTCAATAGATGGATTCTCTAACACTACCAGATTTTCTCCATGAGTCACTCTCATATTTGCAAGCCCATCAGCACATTTGTTCCTTTCACGGAGGATGTGGCTAACCTCACAGTTGCATCTGTGCATGAGGAATTTGACATCCTCTAGTAGTACTCTGTAGGGGTAGTTATTGGGTGTGGTATTGTTGATGTTGACCACCACTTGTTCTGCATCAGTTTCAATCAAAACATCATGCATGCTTTTCTCCAAAATTATGGTGAGGCCTCTATAGATGCCTCAAAGCTCAGCTTCCTCGCTTGTGGTTGACTCTAATTTCCCATGAAATCCAAAAATCCAGGCTCCTCGAGCATCTCTGCATAAACCACCATATCCAACAGGACCAAGGTTTCCTTTGGAGCATCCATCCGTGTTGAGCTTGATTTTTCTTGCACAAGGAGGACACCAATTAGTTTCAAAGTGTAAATAGTCACCTGTGAAATGGTCTGTGTAAAAGGCATGGTGTATTTCTGCTGCTTCATGTTGAATCTGTCTCACTATTTCCTGGGTATTATAGTCCTCTTGTTTGAACACCACATTGTTTATAGCCTTCCATAACCTCCACAAGGCCACTATAAAAACAGTGTCCCAAGGGATATTAAAACACTTTCTGTTCTTGCTCTTTAAGTTATATTGGAGCCATGTGTGATAACCATGTTCCGTATTGTGCTAATTGGTCCTTAATATGAATATGATTATGTGTTTAATGTGATTTTGTGTGCCATTATGTAAAAATATGTGGTTTTGAATTTCTATCTGTTCACCGTAGGAATATCTGTTTGATTATCTGCTTTGGAAATTAAATTGAAGGCCCTATCGGCCACCGAAACCGAAATTCGTCGCGCCATTGTGATTGGCATAATTTTTAGAGCCTACAGTGAAATTTGATTAGAAATTGATTCATATCAGAATTTATTGATTTAATTGATGAATTAGTGCCTAATTACTTTATTATTATTATATTGAAATTAGTGGGATTTGTTGTAATGGGGCACTACACCCTCAAATTTCCTCTTTAGTTTATTTTGGCTGATTTTTGACTCTAAGAGTAGAGAGAGGGTCGGCTAGAGAGGGTGAGAGAAGAAGAATTGTGTTTGGCTCAAGTTTGTAAAGAATTGGAGGATCAAACTCAAGAATTTGCTATAGATTGGAAGGATTAAGCCTCTAGGTAAGTGAATTCATGAATTGTAAGTTATCATCTTGTGAATTCAAGGTTGAAAAATGATTAAGAACATGAATTAAATTGTTTATGAGGTGATTGAGTTGTATGTGTTGAATTTAAAGTCAATAGATGCATGCATGTAGGAAATTACTATGAATTTCCATATTTGAACACAATGTGTATAATCTATGTTGAATCTTGTTTGAAATCCATGTATTTGATCATCTCTTCACCAATTAAGTTGATATGAAAGAATATTTCTCACATGCAAGAGTAGATCATGGAGGTATGAGCTTTGCATGTTTGAATTTGATGTGTTGGTGATGAATTTGGGTTAATTTGAGGCATACATGTAAGTAATTCAAGAAATTGAGCTTCATTGTGTTGTAATTTGGTGTTGGTATCATGTTAGTATATGTATATGTGAAATTTGAGCCATGGCATGCAAGAAATGTTGGTTAGAGTGTTGAATTCGAGCTCAAGAACCATTCTGGAAAACCCAGAATTTTTGATGCCCGCTCGAGCGAGGGAACCGCTGCTCGAGCGGGGATTTCGAGCTCCCAGTATTTTCTTGCAGGCATGGTGTCCGCTCGAGCAGGGAAGTTCACGCTCAAGCGGGGAGCTATGTAGGATGAACTTCCGCTCGAGCGTCCGAGTTCACGCTTGAGCGTAAACATGATACAACCAGCACTTTTGTAGACCTAATGGGTCTGCTCGAGCGGGGACCCTGTTTTCTGAAATTTTGAAAGTGTATTCTATGTTTCGTTTTCCGTTCTCTTTCACTTGCAAACACTCTTAGACATGCATTGAGCATTGTAATTGAGTTAAAGAGAAAAGAATGAAGCCTAAAGAGGAATATGTGAATTAAAGAACGGGTTGAATCGTTTGTGACCCATATGTGCTATATGATGTGTAGAGTCAAGTTCCAGGGCAAATCCACAAGCCAATCACTGTGAGTAATATCTTAACAAGATATTTGAAATATGTTGTTGTCCAATTGTTTACTTCTATGTAAGTTTTGTATGTTCATTAATTTGAATGGTGGACAATGATTAACATGAATGATTGGGCCGAAGGCCCATTGACATAAATGATTGGGGCGAAGGCCGATTGACATAAATGATTGGGGCGAAGGCCGATTGACATAAAGGATTGGGCCGAAGGCGGATTGACATAAAGGATTGGACCGAAGGCCGATTGACATAAATGATGGGCCGAAGGCCGATTGATACAAGTGATTGGGCCAAAGGCCATCTGCTGTAACTGTTTCAAAGATTGCTTATGTATCTTCCTTATTGATATTATTCACTGGACTTTCGCTCACGCTCATTCATGTACATGTAGGTGAGCCAAGGGATGTCCAGAACCAACCTTGGTGAAATTGTGAGAAACAGTCAAAGTTTTGAGGAGTCAGCCCAAACGTTTCACGCACAAGACTGTCTTCGCCTTTGTCCTTTGTTCATAGTTTTGTTATGTTGGCGAAAGCATTGGACTACTTTTGTATATAAGTCTTGGGTTCGACTGCATTAAACTTGTATGATCCTATATGTACAATGTTCTGTGTTAGTACATATTTTGATGTGAGTTATTAACATATAAATGTTTGGAATATTATGGTGTGCATATAACCACAGCTCTATGGATAAAGTTTTAAATTTGCTTCCGTTTGGCCCCTTTACTCTGATGTCTTTTGATTTATTTGGTTTGAGGCCGTAGGTAATCTCGTGATTACTGGCCGGTTATGGCCTTAACCCATAAGGGCGGGTTTGGATCGTGACAGAGTGGTATCAGAGCACGAGTTAATAACTCACACACTTGTCCAAAAGAGAAATAAGCGTCTAGAAAAGATCTAGGATGCATTCATGTGATAAGTATGAATCCGAAAACATCAAGAATACGTTTAACTGTTAAATGTGAACAACTATGTGTTATAAGTTTGTGAACTGCTTGCATTTCAAATTATTTGATTATGTATGCTCTTTAGTATATGCATACATGTGTATCTTTTGTATAAAGTATAATG